TACTCAGACTATTCATGAATCTTGATAATAGGCTAATAGCAAACATAATGTCTGGTCGTGTTACAGTCAAATATATCAAATTTCCAAGTAAACTAATGTAGGTGGTTTCATCTGCTTTATTTACTCCATTGTTTTTTGTTTAAGCTTTTCATTGGGCATTATGGAAGTTGTAACTGACTTGCTATCTTATATATTAAATTTCTTTAAAATATTTTTCGTATATTTTTTCTTTGATATAAAGACATCTGTATCACCTTAACATACTTCTATACCTAAAAAATAATACAGTAAGCCGAGGTCACTCATCTCATATGTCTACATCATATCTTTTTTGAATTCTCTGATTATTATCTTATTATTGTCTATGTAAATCAAATCATCAACATATAGTGAGATAATTAGAATATTAATACCTCTTTTCTTGACATATAAAATCAGCTCGCTCTTGCTTTTCTTGAATTTTTTTTTTTTTGTGTGAAGTAATTGTTTATCTCATTATACCATGCTCTTGGTGCTTGTTTTAGGCCATGTAGCATTTTCTTTAGCTTGTTTACTTTGTTCTCTCCCCCCTTCAACTATAAATTCTTTTGATTATTTGACATAAATTTCTTCATCAAGATAACAATTTTACAAGGCTGATTTGATATCAAGTTGATACAATCGTCACCCCTTTTAAGCTGTCAGAGCAATAAGAGTTCTAATTATCTCAACCCATACTGTAAGAGCATAGGTCTCATAATAGTCTATGTCATACTTTTTCTTAAAACCTTTGGCAATGAGTCTTGCTTTATACTTATGAACTGAGCCGTTTGGATTCAATTTTATCTTATAAATCTATTTAACACCGATCACTTCACGATTTTCTGGTTAATCTACCAGCTACAAAGTATTATTTTTCTCTATCATGTGGATTTCATCTTTCACGGCTTTTACCCAATTTTATTGTTGCTCAACTTCTTTAAAACTTTGTGGCTCAACTAGTGAGAAATTACATGACTCATAAACTTCTGTTAAATTTTTTACTTTTTATGGAGCTGACTCTGAAGTAGTCGACTCTTCTTTGACATTTTTACTAGAACTCGAGCTTTAACTAGACTCATTTTGTCTTGAAGTGCTATTTTGAGTAGTTTGTCCTCTCAATGAGATAATAATTGGAGGCGACTACTTTTCTTGAACCTTTTCGTCTTCCCAGTTCTACGAAGCATTCTAATCGAACACGACATCTTTGCTGATTATTAGTTCTTCTTCTTCAAATTGTACACCTTATACTCTTTTGTACCATCAACATAGCTTGTAAAAATACATCTTTCACTTTTGTTATCAAACTTTGACATATGTTTAGTTGGCACATGAACATAACATACACAATCGAAAATATTTATATGACTAATTATTAGCTTGACACTACTTCATGCTTCAATTGGAGTTCGATTTGAAATATATTTTGTTGGACTCCTATTCAAGAGATATATTGTTTTATTTACTACTTTTACCCAAAAAGTGTTAGACATATTTTTCTCATTTAGTATTGATCTAACCATCTTGACAATTACGCGATTCCTTCTCTCAGCGATACTATTTTGTTGAGGAGTATATGTTGCTGTTAATTGTCTCTAAATACCGTGTTCTTAAAAAAAAAAAACTATCAAAGTTCTTTAAGGTAAACTCAACGCCTCGATCATTTAGTAAAACTTTAATTTTACGTTCACTTTGATTTTTCATAGTGATTTTAAATTTTCTAACCACTTCAAAGGCCTCATAATTTTATTTTAAAAATATATCCATGTCATCCTTGAATAATCATCAACAAAAATTAGAAAGTACCAATTTTAGCATTGTGATGTCTGCATCTATCCGTATATGTCGGTGTGTACTAGCTCAAGTGGTGTACGTGCTCGCCATGATCCTTCAGATGAGAAAAATTTTCAATGCTACTTACCAAAGATGCATCATTTACATGTGTTCGACTTTGTGTTGATAAATGATAGGCACTGAACCTTATATTTAACTCTTAATAGCTTTAAAGTATTATAGTTAAGATGATTGTACCTTTTATGCCATAAATATGAGTAGTCAGCTAGCTCTGTTTGTAATGCCACTTCTGAAGTATATTTTATATATAGGAAAAAATTTTTGGACCTCTCCATATCAACTATGGCAAACAGCTAATTTTTATTTCTTCGATAAAAATTTTTGCAACCTCCATCTTCAAAATGAACTGCATAACTATTTTGTAAAAGTTGTCTGATATTCAGCATATTCTACTTCAGATCTGACACTAACAAAACATCTCGAAGAAATTTAGGTTCCATCTTAGATTGCACAACAATATTGCCTTTACCTTTAGCTTGAACCAAATGACCATTTCCCATGCATAGCTTGGTTTCATATGACGCATCTATATCTTTGAATAATTTTTGGTTACTTGTCATATGGTTTATGTAGCTACTTTTCAGGTACGAAATATTATATTTTTCTTTTATTGCAGCATGATATGTGAAGAAAATATTTTCAGAATTTTCATTTTTTTTTATGAAATTTGCTCGATCATGAACTTGACTTTTGTTTCTGCAATATTTTGCAATATAATCGAGCTATTTGTATTTGTTGCAGTGTTTTTTCTTCCAACATCTCAACATACTGTGATTCAATTTGTTACATAATTTACATCACGTATTTGAACTCGAACATGCTTCTCTTTCAATTTGATTTTGTTGGTTTTGCATATTATGTTCGTCTTTTTTTTTTAATTTTTTTTTTCAAAGAAGTTTGAGTTTTAAAACTAGTGCTAAAAGCACTTTCAACAGAGTTGCTCCCACTTTATAATTTTCTTGCCTAGTACGACTCCAATGAACTCATCAATTGTTGAATTGTAAGAATAGACAAATCTTTCGACTTTTCAATTGCTGCAACAATATATTTATATTTTTCAGGTAAGCTAATAAAAATTTTTCCTACCATTTTTTGATTTGTAATTAATTCACTAAAATTCCGCATCTGGTTCACGATCTCGATCCTTTTTTAGAAATACTCATTTAATTTTTTGGACTCCTTCATTGGTAAAATTTGAAATTATCTTTGTAAGTTTTGCAATTTCACGACAATCACCTTTACGGATCCCTGGAACTCTTGTTGCAATATATCTCACGCTTCTTTTGATCTAGTTGTACTAATTATTCCAGAGAACAAACTCTCACTAACACCATGTTGTATGAGAAACAAATCTCTTGCATCCTTCAGCTGATCTTCCTCTAACGTCTTTATTTTTGTTGGTGTTAGTTGATGCCTAAGAACAAATTGAGAATAACCATTCTTAGTTGTATCCCACAACCATGGTGATCGTAGCAACGTTCATATTTTTATCTTCTATATATCATAATTTTCTCTAAAAAATATGAGAACCGTTATCTGCATCATACTTGCGCCAACACCTAAAGCCATCAATTAAAAATGCTTCTTCTTTCATGAACATAAATTTACTACTTCACTAACGTCCCGTTCTGAAACCAGGTTCTGATATCAGTTGTTGAAAATAAACTGAAGATAAGAAGTTGTTAATGATAAAAAAATATAAAATTTAAGATAACTAAAGAGATATATTGAAAAGAAAAAATATATTATATTCAATATGAATGTGATGCTGTTATAGAATGATATATAATCTATGTATAAATAGTGAAAATTATCTCTTTTCGTAACTGCCTATTTATTTTATTTAATTGCTATTTAATGTTCAATTATTTTGTTTTTAATTTTTTATAAACGTTGATTTAAAATTTTTCTCTAACTGAAATTTATTGTTTTAATAAAAAAAATAATTAATTCTAACAAAAATGACCATGATTTAAAACAAACCCAGTTACTTCAAAGTCTAAAAAGAGTAATAACTGTAAAGCACTGCTGTATATATAATTATAATCAGCATGTTATATATATATATGTATTCTATTACAGTAATAGGGTCATGATGTTTTTAAAAATTATAACTTGCTAGCAAGCTTGCTGATTCCAGATTATAAGGTAGATTAAATTTGTACAGTGGCACATATATGTACATATTATACATATTCAGTATGTATAGTGTTAATTAATTGGTTGAAAGGATCAGTTTGGTCCTACAAGTCCCCTTCCAACCCAACAGTGTCTGCATGAATATAAACCAGTTTGATCCATCCGGCCTGTTACTTTTAAATTAGGGATAGAAGGTGGCTAGTGATGGGTCCGAAGATGAGAATTATTTCCCTCTGCATACATGACATTTTACTGTTTATATTGATTAGTTTTTATTTTGATTTAACCCCATTTTAAAACACCTTTTTAATATCTTAAAATCATGTGGTTTAGACCCAATCCACATACTCTTGTCGTGATTGGTTTATATTCCTTTTATGTATGTATAATATATCAACTTATATAAGATATTCGGTCACATCAGATTATATATTCTATATATATATATATATATATATATTTATAATAGAAAAAGGATACTTTTCTTAAATCGAAATTATTTTTTAAAAAATATTAAAATTAGAAAATTTAGGAGATATAATCCTTATGGCGGATTCTCAGTTTTGTTTAACAGATACCAAAAATTATTGACTGGTGTATTGCTGTATTTTCATAAGAATGAATTCAATTGTTAGATGCCCTCTCAAAGGTATGGCTTTTAAAAAAAATAGGGTCCCTTGTTAATGACTTAAATAAGTGATTAACATGTTGATTAATGCTCATTATGGTTAATATTACTCTCTAATCTATTACTACCCCACTGAGTTTGATATTTAACCTACTTATTTCTCTACTTACTATTCCTTCTCTTTGCTTTTAAAATATTAATTAGTTGAAAAATAGTGTAAATGAACGTTTTATAAGAGGCCCAAGTACGGGTGCATATAAATATAAAAGTTAAAATGAACATCGATATCTAAATTACCCTCAAGCACACACATACTATATGTATATTGTATATATATAGGGTTGTATACATTGGTGGAGTAGTGAACTGTTGTCGTTCCTTGAGAAATAGATCTAGTAGCAATTAATTTATAAAGAAGGGAATTAAGGATGAGTAGAGGAGGCAGCTATGGCGGTGGTCAGAGTTCTTTAGGTTACCTGTTTGGATCGGATGAGCAGGCAAATGGATCTCCAGTTGTGCAGCCGGTTGCTTACCTTCCCCCATATGGTATTGATGATCATACCAACACATACACTGATCAGAAGCCCCCACAAAATCCTTCTAAAAACACAAATCCTTCAAATAATTATCCTAGAACTCAAGGCCAGAACTCAGGCAACTTCATTACAGTAAGTTCTAATATAATTATACTTTGACCTAATTAATTATATTATATATATATATATATATATATATATGATGAACTGATAAACCTTGATCAGGATCGACCCACAACGAAGGTGAAATCAGTTCCTGGTGGAGGTTCATCTCTTGGTTACCTGTTTGGAGATAAGTGATTTTTCTCTTCGAAGTTACGCCAGCTACCTCAGCTCATTGGGTAGGGAATTATGTGTATTTTCTGTGGGTGTTTATATTAATATCAATACATGCATGCCAAATGATAAGGGACTTCTCCTCATGGCAGTGTTGGGTTTGCAATGGATTACTTATATCTAGCTATATAATTACAAGATATACAGTGTGTGTGTGTGTGTGTGTGTAAGTTTGATATTTTCATATATCTTTGCATATATGTATTGTCGATGAATTATATAAAAGTAATGAAATTAAGTATATATTGTTTACGTTCACAGCAGATGAATGACGGTGATTAAAGTGACTAGCTAGATGGTAATTTGCTTCTGTGGAAATTTTATTTCCTGAAGCAGAATTACTATTTTTATTTTAATATCTTATGTTGAAGATTTATTTCATGAGGTCTAAGTTAATATATAAAAGCTCATGTTGATTTTGGAGAAGAACAAATCCTACAGACACACATATATATATATATACGTTTGATATATTTCTGTTTCTTTACAAAAGAATATTAAATCTAAAGGTTGCTCCAAAAAAGAAAAGTTAACAAAAACTTTCGATTTGATATAATTATTATTGAATGTTGATTTGGAAGATATCAATGGAGGAGCTGAACAAAAAACCAGCCTTGATCTAAATCCCTTCATGTTTCTTCTTTCCTTCTTTTTTGTTGGAAGCTGTCTTCAGATTTTAAGTTTGTAAACCCTCTCTCCTTTGCGTTGCATCAATTAATAGAAATCCGAAATCCTTAAATCTTCAAATCCCTCTCTTAAGAGCGAATATAAAATTATTGACACCAACAGCATAGCAAATAATGCCAGAATAGATTATTTGGCAATCACATATTAACTTTTTAATTTGAGACACTAGTATTATTTATGATTGAATTTAGTTAAATGTCTCTACCGTAGGATATTAAACCCACAAAGCAGGAGGCTACACACATACAAGTAATGAACGCTACCCTCAAATTCAAGAAAACATAGAAAAATTATTACAGTTGATGTCCTCATCGGCAACTCCAAGATATATATAAATATATATAGAGAGTATACACAACTTAACACGTTTATAAATATCAGAGTACACAATTAAATACACTAATTAATCAACGGTGTTTTGATCTAATAGTTAAATTATCTAACTAATTTTATTTTTTATATGGACCTAAACAAAATGTTAAGAGCAATTAGTAGCCTCTTTCCTCAATACGGGCTCTGAAGATGTAGAATTTCCTAAACAGCTGATGGGCCTGAATATTTTATAAACATTGAAACCCCAAGAAAGGCTGAAAGTTCCCGACCCTTCTCTTCTTTTCCTTGATTTTGTTTGGATCTTCCTTCTTCAACGGGAACCCCACCAGAATTGCAGTAGACAAACCGACATTTACTTGCTTGTATGGATGCTCTCTCTCTCTCTC